CCACTTTCACTTGTCCCTATGGAACGTTCCCATACCGAAAAATGACGTTTGGACTATGTAACGCTCCTGCCACTTTCTAAAGATGCATAATGTCCATATTCACATACATAATTGAAGAATTCATGGAAGTTTTCATGGATGATTTCTCAGTCTACGGTCCCGACTTCAAAGCGTATTTAGACAACCTGTGCAAGGTTTTGGCTAGATGCGAAGAAAAGAACCTGGTCCTAAATTGGGGAAATGTCATTTCATGGTCAACAGTGGGATAGTGTTAGGACACAAAGTTTCCGCTGCCGGAATCGAAGTTGATAAAGCCAAAATAGAAGTAGTGACAGGCTTACCACCTCCCTCAACTGTGAAAGATGTTCGAAGCTTCTTAGGACACGCTAGATTCTATAAGATGTTTATAAAAGACTTTAGCAAGATCGCTAGAACTCTGACAACAGTACTATGTAAAGAGGTGAAATTTGACTTCACACATGAATGTCTAACAGCTTTTAAAGAAATCAAATCAGCCCTCGTGTCTGCACCTATTGTACAACCACCAGACTGGAGTTTGCCTTTTGAAATTATGTGCGACAGAGCGATTTCTCTGTAGGCGCAGTACTCGGGCAGAAAAAGGACAAAAAGCCATCTGCTATATACTAGTTGAACGCTTGATGATGCACAACGCAATTACGCAACTACAGATAAGGAGCTACTAGCACACATTTTTGGTTTCAAAATTTTTTGTTCCTATCTGATTGGTTCAAAAGTAATCGTTCACACCGACCACACAGCCCTTAAGTACCTAATGAACAAAAAGGATGCGAAACCGAGACTTTTAAGATGGATTCTTTTATTGCAAGAATTGGACATAGAAGTCAAGGATAAGAAAGGAATAGAAAATGGCGTTGCATATCACCTTTCCTGAATAAGAGTACACGACGACGTTCCAATATATGACTATTTACCAAGCGAAAACGTTTACCATATGGAATCAACTTTCATTGGTAAATTCCACACCTTGTCAAAGGCAGAATCGTTCGATGGAAATGTGACACAATCGATCGATGCCGTTGGAGCGAATGAATCATAATCCATATTGATGTTCGCATTAATCACAACCATCCTGTATTAAACAATGCTTCTTCCAGAGATAAAAGTTTAAATCGTGGGGTGTGTTCATTAGACGCGACCAATAGACTTTGGTATGCAGACATAGTAAACTACCTTGCAGCTGACATAGAACCTGACCTTTTTAAAGGGTATCACAAAAAGAAATTTCTGAGAGAAATCCAGAGATATCATAGGGATGAAACCCTACCTTTATAAACATTGCTTCGACAGGATATACAGACGATGCGTAGCTGAAACCAAAACCCCAGATATCCTTCAACGCTGTAACGGATCTGATTAAGCTGGGTATTTTTCACGTTTTAAGATAGTATCCAAAATCCTACAAGCTGGTTTATGGTGGCCGACTATGTTCAAGGATACCCAAGAATACATAGAAAAATGCAACCCATGCCAAAGGAGAGGAAATCAGCAGACGACATGAAATGGAACAGGATTTCATACTTAAAGTAGAACTGTTCGATTTCCAGGTAATCGATATGGGCCCTTTTCCCTCTTCGTACGGAAACAAATATATATTAGTCGCTGTAGATTATTTATCCAAATTGTTAGAAGCGATAGCGATACCTAAAAATGACGCAGCCGTAGTCATGAAACTTTTCAAGAGTATCATATTTCCCAGATTTGAAGTTCCACGGATAAAGATAAGCGATGGAGGAACCCATTTCAACAACAAGGTATTTGATAAACTACTCAAGAAACATGGAGTCCACAACCAAGTAGTTACACCCTACCACCATCAGACCAGCTGTCAAGTAGAAGTATCTAACCTCCAGATCAAAGAAATCTCAGAAAAGACGGTAGGATCAACCCGTAAAGACTGGTCTTTGAAATTGGATGATGCACTTTAGACTTACTGAACGGCATTTAAGACAACATTAGGAACTACCCTGTTTCACTTACTATATGGAAAAGCATGTCATCTCCCTGTAGAACTAGCACATAAGGCTTGGGCCATAATGGCAACCAACTTTGACCCACTACCTGCTGCAGAAAGGAGATTGGCCAAGCTGAATGAGCTAGATGAGATTCGACATCACGCTTACGATAACTCCAACCTGTACAAGGAAAGAATGAAAGCCTACCGTGATAAAAAGATTATTTCTAGGCATTTCGTACCCAACAGTCAAGTTCTACTGTATAACTCCTAGTTAATCTTGTTTCCCAAAAAAATTACGTTCTCGCTGGTCCGGACATTTCATCGTAAAAGAAGTCACGCCGTATGGAGAAATCGAGCTAGTTAGCACAAAAGGAGAGGAATTTATGGTGAATGGGTAAAGAGTGAAACACTACTCGGCAAAAGCTGAAACTCCGCGCACTCAGACTACGTGTCTGGAGCTTCCAAAACCCGACTGAAAAGTCTTTCGTGTCAAGCTAATGACCTTAAACAAGCGCTGAATGGGAGGCAACCCATTTGTATTTTTAACTGTCACAAAAAAAATATTTATCTTGTCTTAGATTTTGGAATTAGCTTATAAGCCCAAAAGCTTATAATCATTCAATATCTTCCCTCTCCCATCGATTGATAGTCCTATGTTGAGATTTCTTAACCTCGACTCGACCCTTTTCGTGTTCACTTTCTCATAAACCGCCAAATCGCCACATTATCTACTCACAAGTTCTCTCTCGTTTCTTGGACGGTTTTGCTCATTCTTGAGGCTAATCCCGTAGATTTTTCGCCCTCTATCTGTTTAGCTCATCCATTCCCTCGATATAAAAGGTTTGTTCTCTAAATTCAGAGTTTAGAGAGTTTCTAGGGCTTGGAAGAAAAACATTGAAACTTCATGAGATTAGATCGAAATCTAAAACAATCTAGGATGCTGGAGTGCTAGTTTTGGAGATCCCTATCATTCGTAGTTACAATCTACTTAATTTCCCACCGAGTCAAGAATACTTGGTTGTATGAACCTCCGACGAACCATCGCTCAATGTTCGAAGGGGACCATCGATCGGTGGGCGTTAAAAATCCTTGGACCTTTGCTAAATTTTGACTTGTTCGTGACTACAGATGGCTGAGAGGAGAACCAAAGCTCATCACGGCCAAGGAAGCTCCAGCTCCGCACCACAAGAACCTCTATGCCGTGACCCTTGGCCAGAACCCGAGGACGACTTGATTCCTACATCCGAGGATTACGAAAATCCTGCTGTAGTTGTTGCATCAACAAAGTGGGCCCACAGAGCCGTCTCTAACGACTGTAACGAATATGACAGCCTCTACTGCAATGCTTGGCAATACGTTGAGATCACGCCTACTAAGTTCATCGACTGAGAGGTTTTGGAAAAGCTGAAGCTCCATCATGACATCAAGGGGATGCTACGAGAGTTGGGCATAGGAACAATGGCAACTAAGCCATACGTTCTCTATCCTGATCTGGTGCGACAGTTCATGGCCTCCGTTCGGCATATATACCAAGATGCCATAGTGAAGAGAGAAAATGAGGCTGTATTGACCTTTATGATCCGAGGCATCAGATACATGATCACCATTTTCGAGCTCTGTGAGATCTACAGGTTCAAAAACCCGTTTGCCTTAGGCTGCATCACTCCTCCTTTCCCTGGTCAGAATGTATTCTGGAACCTCTCGCCACGGGACAGCTCAAGGCGAGCTCTGCTACTTCCTGAAGGCCCTCGCCAACACGTTGATGTGTAAGATAGAGCCTAAAAATTTCAGAGTGCAGGAGGTCACTTTGCTATACCAGGCCACTAGAGACCTGGTGGATCTTGATGAGGAGATTGTCCATCCTTCCATGAGTGACTAGCAGCTGAACATGAGAGCCCTTTTCGCTGAGAACTTGATGACCCTGAAAGGCAAGCCTTCCACGGGAACATAGAAGAAGAAGGAGACAGTTGGGGGCCTTTTCACACCGATCTTTCTCTATTGTGGGGTCAGCTCTCAGGGAGCCTCCGTTGTGACAGAAATCAAGAAGTTGGATGAGCCACACTTGACGAGTGCTTAATGGCTGAAAGGAGTCATTTCTATTCCTTTGTGTCTGATGCAGGACCATGCCTCATAGAGCTTCCAGCACCAGACGTTACTGATTTTGCCGACGATCTTTCACGCCTTGAATTTCGACCTGACGAGCGCTTTTTGCACAATGCGCCCATCAGAGTGCAACGCAGAGGAGGACTCAGGCCAGCTCACGCAGTAGATGAGGACGTGCCAGAGCAGCCAGCTCCAACTCTTCCCTCTTTTCCACAGATCCCTCGGATCCCCATCCACGACCATGGTAACTTCCAAAGAGTCGTGGTAGATGCACTTCACGCTATCTGGAGCATGATAGAGACGATGTCTAGGCGTCAGTGTTACTGCCATCCACGTACCAGAGAAAGATCACCACCAGCACCAGCACCAGCACCGAACCAGTACGATTTTGACTCAATGTTTAGGAGTTATGAGCTAAATGTGCATAGAATAAATTTAGTTAAAATATTTATTAGTTTGTGTAGAATAAATTTATTTAAAATAAACTAGAAGTTTACCATTTGTTTCGATATATAAGATTTATATGTTAACATATGTATATTGAGAATATATATTTACACAAAAGTTTTTCAAATATAGTTAACTTTTTATGTTATCGAAACTTATCTATGATCCTCCTGGTGCATCAAAAGACCTCCTTATTAAGTATAGGTTCAATCTACAGCTTATAATATTTGGAGAGTAACAAACGCTAGTACGGAGAGAAGGTGAAACACACAAGCCTAGCTTGTCAACAAAGTTTAGAATTGGCATACGAAGGCAGTCTTGATATGTTGTTGGCCACAAACGCTTCTTGACCTGAACCATCTGATCTACATCAGTATAACTCTGCAAAAACGCTAGAAAGAAGCTTGTAATCAACATCTACAACCCTGAAACCTGTTTAATAGTGTTTGAATATTGCATTCGGTTGAACAGAAAATTATATCCATCAGTTGAGCATATTCATTTGTCTCAAATAATGTTCACTCTCAACAAATAACAAAAGTTCTATATGAATACAACAAAAGAAAAAACGGACAACGCACGAAAGTTCAAATAAGCGATTTCCCCTTTTTCCATAATATAACATTCTTCAGACTATACTTGGAGGATCTCCAGCCCAGCTACAAGTGGCTCGTGACCACCGAGTTCTGATACAATCCACCAATGGTGCATGCTGTGCCGGCTTAGGCTGGGTCACTTCTGAGTCTTTGCCAGAGCTGCTGGTCATGTACTCTTCTGGTGTCCATTTAGGAGGAACAGAGACGGTTAGTTTCGTGAGCCTTGGCCTCTGCATAGGAACCGTCCCAACTTCGACAGCCATAGCTTGACCACCACCGTTTATATCTGATTTAGCAATGCCATTGAAGTGATAAACATCAAACATTTTCGTTCCCATCATTCCTGATGAATCTTTGATCCCTCCCAAGTTTCTGTCTAACTCCAGGATCAGTTTCCATAACTCGCTCCACACAATGAACCCCATGGCGCAGATCTCAGTCATCTTCTCAGTTGGCAATCTAATGTTTGTTTCCTGAACAACTTGGTGAAAGGCCTCAACGCTGATGAAACCTCCTCCTCCGCTTTGGTCTCTTGCATCGAAAGCTCTTCTTATCTGAGACTCTCTCAGCTCAAGTTCGTTTTCTTCCTGGACAGATGGATCGAGTGCAAACAGGACGGTGTAATGTGACTCGCTGCCAAGGACCCATATTGGCCATTTGGGAGATTTGAGATTATGACCGACTTTGCAGAAATTGAGAGACTCAAGCAACGTCAGGAAGCCCACCTCCACATTCTTAGATATGCCTTTCAGAAACAAGCCGTCTCCAAAATCAATCCTTCCATCAAAAACATTAGGAACCGCCTCACCACACAATAGCAGGTTTACGATTTCCTAATCAGAAAGGGGCACAGATAAAAAAAAATCAGTAATACTCAAGGGCAAAAGAGAGTAAAAGGACAAGTTACAGATGATCAAAGTGGATTTTGAAATGTGCTACCTGGGAGGCATGTCCAAATGGTGCAGTTACTAGGGGGAGGTTTGGATCATCCCTGTCGTTTTGAACAGTATCCTGTTTATGGAAAAATTAATCATACACAGAAATAACGGGAATGAAAAATCTATTCTGCAATTTGATATTCTGATTCTGATCTGGATCAAAAAACAATCTAGAAACCTAAACCAGAATATCTAAATGCTGATGTGGTATTTTTAATGAACTCTTAACACAGTAAGACTAGCTTGCCTATCATCTGAAATTTTCTCTATCAATTCCATTTCTGGCTATAACGCCAATAGCAAGGACCACATGACCAAATAATCCCAAGTCCTTAGAAAAACTGAACCCTATCGTGTGGGTGAAATGTAATTTCAATCCCAAATCTATCATTCAGGTATCGCCTCCATGTATACATATTTTTTTTTTGAAAGAGTAAAAAGGAACAAGGTTGGGTTCATACCAGTCCACGGGAGAGTAAAGCAGAAATAAGGAATAGCAAAGCACCCATGCGACTCTGGAAAGCAGTTATTGTGCCTTCTATCTTATCAAAGGCACTGGACTGAGTTGTGAATGTCTCAAATCTTAAGATCTTCTGCAAGTCTGAAGCAGTCTCAATAGGGAGACCAGCAGCCATTACCTGCATCAGTAAATTAGGGACGCAACATAAACACTGAAACTAATACTCGCACCAAATATGGAAAACTAACTTACCTCATCTTTCTGATTAGTATTGAGATCCTCATAATTAGGGAAACTCGCTACTACAGCGCGGTTATTGTTTCCACACATGAATAGAATCTCACACATGCTTCTAACAAGAGCCCTACAAAATCAGGAAAATACAATGACAGATGGTGAGATATGATAACAAAAATTTGGAACAAATGTTCTTTGAGAAAAATCACCTTGTTTTTGCTTCTTCTGGTATAGATGAGAAAGAGTCTGAAGCGACATAAGGGTTTTTAGATATTCTGACACCCAAACTCGGGGAACCTTTCCCTATGTCATCCGGAAAGTAAATAAGGTATTTAAGAACAAATGCCTACACAGAAAATGGAACGGTCAGCTTCCACTGCAAAAACGTTTACATGCTCCAGACCACATTTAACACAGAAAACAAATCAGAAACAAGAGAATTACTTGTAATGCTGCTAAAACACCGCAGGGCCCACCTTCATGCTGCACTAACCCTATAGTGGTTTCAGGATCAGGGCTAAACCTATAAAAAGAGTTGTCAAAACACTAGTTTAAAGACCAATAAAAGAGAGATACAGATATGGAAGTAAATAGACATTTTAGTTAAACGGAAATTTCGACTGAAGAAATATGTTGCAATATGACATGCATGACACAAACAAAATACGGTCAGTATACATACGAGAAGCAAAACCTAACGTTTTTGGAGGCTATGCAAATGATTTCTGAAATCAAGAGTTGAAACAGATACAATAACAAGCACTGTAGTCATTCATTTAAAGTGTGGTCCAAGTTTTAGCCATCAAAACCCAATTGTGCTTTTCACCATACTGATGTCTCTAGAAATGGTCAGTCTGATATTCTGATAGATATGCATCAAAATGATAGGATTGTGGATGCGTTTCTACCAATAGGGGGTTTGATTCTAACAAGAATAATAATCGGCCAATCACAGCAAAATATTTTTCTTGTGCAGAATTTACATTTGCTTTCTAATTTTCTGGAAGCTAACTGAACCCTGACATGAGATGGAGAAAGCCTAATAGGGAAAAGGATCTAGACGGTTTGATATTGATTCGAGGGTAAAAAAACTGATGCCTTAAAGCGACCATATAATAAACCATCCCTCATAAACTAGCTTTTGTGTCAACTACTACCCTAGGGCTTTCCTAAGACACAACTCGCATTTGCAAACTAGTCATTATGAAACATATCTTGTCTTCTCAGCTACATATCCACCCTATTTTCTCAAACTCTGAAACATGGAATATTACAATTCAAATAACCAACTTCTACAAATACACAAAGGCTAATCCAAAAGCACATAAACTTGAATGAATCCAAGGTACCTGATGCCTTGATTGGTCCACTGTGCAAGTACACTTTTTGAAACCTCATTCCCAAACACCATTGTGAACAACTGATTAGACTCTTCTGGGGATAACTCCAAACCAACACCGGATCCCATCTCGTTAGAGCTATTAGCAACCGTAATTGGCAACGCCAGAGCTCTGGGCTTAGGTTGAGCAGGAGGGCTCTTAGGAAGAGACATGATTCGTTTCTCTGCCGCAGCAGCCATGAGCTCCCGCTGCAACCGCCGTGTTTTGGCCTCTGGCGATTCACCACCGAATTGAGATTCAGATCCGGTTTCTTCAATGGGTTTGCTCCGTTTGGGCTCTGGAGGATTGTACTGCATACTCATCTTAAGAGCCAATTCCAAATCCTCGTCGTCTTGATGATCCGCCATTTGAGAATACCCGGATCTAAAGATTGCGGACAGGCGAGAATGGAGACCACAAGATCACACCGATAAAAAAAAGATGAGAAACCCCAATTCGAATCAATAAATACAAGTCCCCATAAGGATAGAAATGAACTAAAGGCTACTCTTTTCGGCTTCAACAGTTTTTAGGGCAGATTAACTCGAAATCACCCATACTCCTCTCAAAAATTCTCTATTTTCCCCTTAATAATATATATATTATTTTTAAATAAAAAATAGTTAAAGACGATAGTGTCCTTGAAAAGTTCACCTAATTACAGATCCGACCACAGAGTACCCACTCATCCAAACCAAAACCAATCTGGTTTCAAACCGGATCATAACCTTAAACTATGCGTTTCAACAGTTTCCCTCATTTTTGTTAAATCTCTTCTCTTTTTCTTTCTCTCACAACAGAAACGGCTACAAACCCTAAAATCTCCATCTTCTTCGTTTTTTCTTCTTTTTCTGCAATAACCGAGCCCCCATCTTCTAAATCGACAAAAGATTGACTTCCTTCATTTTGGTAAATTGTTTATTTTTATTAATTTCGTCGTATTTTGTATTTATGTTAGATAAAATTTGGGGAAAACTTCTAATTTGTAGACAAAACTATGGTATTGTTTTTAATCAGCGAGTTTGTGCTATCAAATTGGATGAAACCACAGTGAAATCTTAAATTTGGTATATGTTATGAAAAAAGAAAAAGTATTTTGAACTATTATTTAGATCAAACTGTTATGATTTTGTGGGTTTTTTGACTGGATAAGTTGAATCTAATTAGTGAGATGTCTTGTTAAAACATAAATTATGAATTAGGGAGAAAATGTATATGAATCGAGTATGTATTCAATTGGAGAGAATATTGGGGTTTTAGGTTATGGAAATTAAATTTTCTTTTGAGCATGGTGTAGTTAGGAGAGTCCGAGTATGACCATAGTTTAGAGTTGATGTTTTTATGGTTGAATGTTTGATATGTGAAACCGAATTGGTGATTGAGTCTTTGAATGTTTGAGCATATATAGATTGAAAGGGTATTGGAGATTTATTAATTGGGTGAACAAGATTAGGCAAACTAATGATTCTCGTTTTGGTTGTTTTTGGATTTTCAGAGGATCAAGATAATGGCAGGCCGTAAGAAACGTGGACAGAAGAATCAGAGTTAACAGAAAAAGGGAACGACCACAAGAGCCCCAAAAAACATTGCTCTTGTAGTAGAGAGCATGTAGAAGAACTTTCATGCGGGAACTCAAGTGATGATATGTCTGCTCCATCTGAGGTAAAATATTATTTTGGTTTAAGTTGAATAAAGTTTTGTTTCTCGTGCATTGGGTTTAGTTGAATAAAGTGTCACTGGTCGTGTATTATTGGTATACCTAGGTCTACTAGGATACTTGTATAACCGGTGTGATTAATTAGTATTACTAGTATATAATTGTATAAGTGGTGTGATTAGTATTACTAGTACATAATTGTATTACTTTTGTGAGTAGTAATTATGACTAAAAATTTTTGTTGGTTTTATTTGCCTTGCAGAAATCTCAACAATTACCACCTTGTAATCTCTACTTCAAGAACACAGAATTCACCAAGACGTGTAAAATACAGAGCAAGTGCTATGTGACCAAGATAGAGTATGTTATCAAAAATCTTAAGGAAGAGTTGGCCTGGTCGAAAGGGATCCTCAGTTTTGTCTCTTTTTACATATGCCTCGAGAAGAAAACTTGAAGCTGGTGGGTATGTGGATGCTTCTACTGCGCACTATTCCCTTAGACGAACAAGAGAACACAGCTTGGTTTGCAGTTAATGGCGTACCCATCTGGTGTTCCATGAGAGAGCATGCACTCATCTCAGTATTGGACTGCCATGACTACCCGCCTAATTATAAGGAGTTAGGGAGTTTTGAGTTTGTGGATAGGCATTTCGATTCACATAAGGAGATAACAATGAAATATAAAAAAGTGAAATTGCTGAGTATGAGATCGTGTGAGGATCGACTCAAGATGGCAGTGCTATTCTTCCTAGGCACAATTATCAGAGGGAATGGAAAGTATAATGGGCGCATGGACTCTTTCATATTAAGAATCATCAAGGATTTGGAAGTTTGTGAAACATTTCCTTGGGGTCGCTTGACATTTGAAGATGATATCCATTCGATCAATAAAGTGATGAAGCATCTCAAGGGAAAACCTAAAAATAGTGCAATTTCCCTGGATTCATAGTTCCTCTTGTATGATTGGTTTTTGACAAATTTTGTATCTATTCCAGCTCGGAATGCAAGATTTAGAGAACAAGTAGTAGGCTGTATGAGTAACTGTCCAAGGATGTGTAAGAAGCAGTTCCAAAGCAACAGTATGAAGGGTTATCCACTTGAGGACTTGTACGAGAATCGTGGCGAAACTACGGTAAATAATTGATGTCAATTATTTTTTTAAGTTTATGGGATGCAATTTTGCGCAAATGATATTTTTTTTTATATTTCAGACAATGATAGTTTTTGGCTTCCTACTCTGGATGAAGAAGTTCTCATGGTGCGAATAGTGGAGGAAGAGCTAAAATATGATAAGGAAGAAGGAGTAAGTAACATGTTGAGCGCATGGCTTACTATAAAGGGGAAGCCTATCTGGTGGAAGGACATTTATGAGTTAGATGTGGCTGCAAGATATTTTCATAAGAAGAAAGATAAAGAAAAAAATGTCTGAAAATGCGTCCTCCTCTAATGATGGGTATGATGGGTTGGAGAACGTCTTGAAAGGGTTTGAAAATAAATTGATGACTTCTTTAACTGAATTGAATGTGAAGATGGAGACAATGGAGAATCGACTTGTTGGCATTGAAAAGAGCCAATGTATTTTTTAAAAAAGAAGGTTAAGAAGCAGAGAGAAATGGAGAAGAGGCTGAACGGGATTGAAAACTGTCAATATTTTCTAAAAAAAAGAAGGCTAAGAAGCATGAAGTAATGGCCACGAAGCTTGATGCCATTTAGAAGGACCAAGGTGTCATGAAAAAAGAAGGTTAGAAGGATGAAAAGGAAACTGAAATAGAAGGATTTTGACAACCAGAACATGGATTTTGACTGAGACTTTAGCAGAAATGGAGTTGAGGAAGAGGAAAAGAAAGATGAAGAACATGCTAGGATAGATAATGCAAAAATGGTTGATGCAACACAAGATAGCAAACTTGATGACGAAAAAGAACCTGAAACTGTGGCGGTTGAAGAAGGCGAAGATGTTGAAGAAGCTGAAGGGAAAGAGGTTCAAGAAGAGAATAAAGGAAACGAGGTGCAAGAAGAAACTGAAGGGAAAGAGGTTCAAGAAAAGGCGGAAGGAGAAGAGGTTCAAGAAAATGCTGAAGGGGAAGAGGTTCAAGAAGAGGCTGAGATCAAGGATGGGAAAGAGGTTAGAGAAGAAGAGGCTGAGATCAATGATGGGAAAGAGGTTAGAGAATAAGAGGCTGAGAAAGAACCCGGGGAGGAAGAGTGTAGCAAATACACGGAGGAAGAGAAAGAAGGGTGGATTCTGACTATTTTCAAGAGCTATGATGGATTTTTTCCATTTTTAAGAGCTCATGTTGTGGATCAGACGGATGTAACCGGTAGAACTCCTCCTGCTCCTGTTGTGGATCAGATGGCTAGAACCGATAGAACACCTCCTGCTTCTGTTGTGAATCCGATCGAGGGAACTCCTGCTCCTGTTTCAGTAACTCCACGTGGTAGGACTAAGGCACATCATGCGAGGAGACAAGTACTTGCACCACCACATGATATTGGTAAGGCAGTTAGAACGAGAAAGGCTAATAATCCACAGAGGTTTACAACGCCACCAGCGGAAAAGAGGGCACATGCACCATCACAGTGGCTTTCCTCTCCTTTCACCGAAATAACTACCGATGAGATCGAAGGGCCGAAGAAGAGGCGTAAAACCAATGCTTAGAAAGACTATTGGGTTAAAATATTTTGGATGTTTAATATTAACTCAACTTTGTAGTGAACTTATGTAGGATGATTTGTTGAAACCTATGTTTGTTTATGTAAAACCTTGGAAGTGTGTTATTTTGGGATTTGTATGATTGTCTTGAAACAGGTTTGGACTACTAGTAAACAAGGTATTACTACGCTTAAAAAACATAGTACTACTAGGTTTATTAGGTATTACGAAATATTTATCAACACTTTCTTAAATTAACAAATGTGTCAAAGTGTAAAACACACGTGTAAAATGTGTAAAACACACGTGTAAAACATACTCAACGTATTTACACTTAGTAATACCCAAGATTGTAGACATAATATGTTGTTCATAGTAATAGATTTGAAAAATATCAATAATTATTAATAATACCACATCAAAAACAGAATTTTTGTGGTAAAACCAATTCATTTATACAGTTTAAGACTGAATATAAAACATTGGTAGAAAAACAATTTAGAAAATATGTATTTTGTGTTATTCACCTTATTATGGCCTTCCATTAAAACATTAATCATAGAAGTATAAAGATATTTTGTATAGAAATGGGAAGTTTTTTATAAACTTATGAAAATTAGAGTTTTTTATGTCTAATTTGATAAATAAACACATATAAATACAACTAAGGTATATTACATATGATAAAAACAAATAAAATACGAAAATATAAAAAATTTAGAAACCTACATATTACAAGTAGTAGTTCTACGAAGTACCAGTAGTCCATATTACAAATAGTAGTTCTTGAAAGTACCAATAGTCCATTTCACACACACTAGTCCTAAGTAGTTCTTAGTAGTCTGAATTACATATAGAAGTATTAAGTTGTTCTTAGTAGTCTAAATAACACATAGTAGTCCTAGATAGTACTAGTAGTTTATATTACACATAGTAGTCGCTAGTAGTTGTAAGTAGTACCTGAACCTGAACTACTTCCACATTCAAAATATGATGACATACCTCCTCCTCTGGCTCTGCCTCTTCCTCTGGCTCTCCCTCTGCTTCTTTTTCCTCTTCCACGGGATTCTCCTATTGATGAAAATCTTGTTTGTTGTGGCTTTCTTTTCTTCGTTTCAAAATCTGGAGGAGGTATTTTATTTGCTCTAACATCTTCTGGTATAACCCAATCAAACATATGAGGAACAAGATATATTATCCTATGATAAGCAAAAAACCATTGTTCCACTAAATAGTATTTG